TCAATTTGTTTTCATCATTAATCATGATGCTTTTTATTGATCCATTTATAAAAGTTTTTAAATAGTCTCTGGTCTCCATCAGTAAATATTCCAAGTCATCTTCCCCTTTAGCAACCAAAGTTGTAAAATCTACATATTACAGGTTGTTAGTAAGTCTTCCTGCAATTTTGGTACTGTGTTTTTTTAAGAGCATGCAAACTGTTAAATTATTTATTCAGCACGCTGAATGAATAATTATGGCAAAAAAGAATAACTTTGAGACACACTTTTATTTTAAACTATTCAGTGTTTTCTTATTTTGTTAAAATGGCTGGGTTTTGGTCTATATTGCAGGGTGTGCTTTCTTCACAATATTTTCCATAATATTTTATGATGCACAAAGTCAATTAAAAACATTTTTCTAGTATTACGTGCTTTCAGGCAAGAGCCATCTGATGTCAGTAATGTCAGTGTTACTCTTACTCTATGTCTTCTTCTGGATCTATCTTGAATTTCTAGCCTCACCTTATTGATGTGTTACTGCAACTGGTTTTTATCTTCTGCAACATTTTACTTGTAAGTTATATTAATTACATTGTTCTGTAATTTATACATTCTCTTGAATTACCTTTTCTTGGAATGGGATCTTCATCCATAATTTGTTCTGCAAAGGTTAGTATCAGACAAGAAGAGGGAAGTCAACAGCATCTCAAATGTTTGATCCACTATTTAATGCCATGACTTTTTTGGAGGCTTTAAGACATATGTCATGAAAAAGCAAATTAGATGGGTACTGTGAGGAGGATGTTAACAGTTCCTCCTTTGTTCAATTCCCCCATTCATCTAAGTTCCTCCTGTGTTCAGTGATTCAACACAAGGTCTTACAGAGACTCAGACTTGTCAGGAAAAGACTCTTGTGACTGTAGATGATATAAGCCAGTATTGGCAGAAACTGGCATACATTACAGACTGTCACTTGTAGTACAAACAGCTTGAAAGTGACCATCCCAAAAAAGAGAGCTAGCATCGAACACTCATGGGCTTATATAAGCCTCTAGTAGGGTGAAGTTTATATGCTACCCTAATCCTATCTCCTTAATACAATAAATACTTCAGCAAAAATACTTTATGAATGGCTAGAATAGACATTTTGAACAATAAATGTTTGACATCATAGGTTCAAAGATGGATCTCTTCCTGTTGGTTGACCAGGTAGCAGTCTCAAAATTTCTTGACTTAGACAAGTATGTCCAACATCGCAACATTCAATGAAACATCTAAATTGATATACCATCAATTCCTGCAGTTTTGTTTTTCAACATGCCTTCAACACAATTTTAACTTCTTCCTTCAATATTATCCACCTTGATTCTTTCTAGTACATTGACTCTTTGAATTCTATCCAATATTCTTTGATGTTTCCTTTGTAGTTCACTATTTTGCCCATAGAAGCCTTCATTCTTGCCACTCAGTGCTTGAATTTTTTTTTTTCTTCAGTTTTTCAACTTGAGACATGCCAAGTGTGTTCTCGCCTTTTGGTTCTCTAGCTTCCAATCTTTGCACTTTTCATAATATTGTGCTCTGTATTCGCAAACTGCCCTCTGATATCTTGTTTCACCTTTTTTTAGTTCATCATTTATTCCTTTCATCTTAAGTTAACACTTAACTTTAACCATCACAGCACAGCCTGTGTTCATTATTCTCACATTTCACTTCAGCATTCTTTACTGCCAGACATGTGTCATGAAAGAGAAAAATAGTTCGATAGTAGACTTTTTTACAGAGGGACCTCTGATGACCTAGTGGCAAGAAGCTACACTGCAATTCCAAAGGCATGGGGTTAGAGGCCACAGAAGAAAGGCAATCTCCTCCCATGTGATTAACTGCCTCTGAAAACTCACCAGAGGATCAGCTATGGATCAGTTCCAACTCTATAGTACACAACAACTGACTTTTTACTAAGGTCATAGATGTGAGTTGTTGGGTAACAGGATGATTAGTAAGTAAAAGAGTAGATGTGTTTAAAAATTTGTGATTAAGGAAGCAGCTATCCAGAAAGTCAGATTGAAATATCCAAAAGAACAAAGAAAACGATCATGACAACCAGTAGAATTTAGGTAAAGGAGGCTAGAATGAGAAGCACATGAGAGTATCTAGTCTTTATCCTAGAAAATCATCTGGTCTTGAAGCTGGGAAAGGTAGAGTGTCAGAGGAAGAGAAGAAGACCCTCAGTAAGAGGGTTGGACTTCGTGACTATTACAATGGGCTTGAGCACTACAGAGAACATGGGGATGGTACAGGATAGGGCAAGGTTAGATCTTGAATTGCCATGAGTCTTAGTCAACTCCAGGGCCTCTAACAACTATATTCTCCTCCTATTCTTGACTCTTCTTTTTTCTTCTGTTTCTCCAAGCAACTAGAGATGGACTGTTGAGAATTGAATGGCCAGGTGTTAAGGGTTTATGACTATCAGCAAGGAAATTTATTAGTTTTACCAATCCACAAGAAGATCCACTAGCATTATCATTAAATTGAGCAGATCCAGCAGCAGAATTTGAGAACCTCACCATCAGCAAAGGAAAAGCAAGAGAATACATCACGTCTTTTGGGGCCAGAGATTCTTGCACCAGTCAGGCTGGGGCATACAGGAGCAGCAACATAGCAGCCGCTGCAGAGAACCTGAGACTTGACATGAGATGGAGCAGACCTTGTGACTGCGGCCCAGTGGAACCCAAACTCGGAGCCTTTGCTGGATAAATGAAGTAGGTGAGAGGATGAAGGACAGCCATAATGGGCAGGGCTGGGGCTGTGTAACACTGGTCTAAAGCCATGAGGTTCAAGGCTGAGGCATTTGTAAGCACATTTCAGAAATTTCCTATTATATTCTGTTAGCAACTTAAATTACAACCTTTTGACTTCCCTAATAAGGTTATATGCAGTCTGTGAGCTATTGCACTGGATTTTTGGACCCAGTAAAGTGGTAAGATTGGTTTTAGGATGAGTAGAAAGAGTTCTGTGAGCATGGGGTACATGTCTGATCTCATAGGAATTGGTTTTTTTGTTGTTGATGGGGACAGTTCCCTTTCATGGAATTGGTAGTGGTCAGATATGGCATGCAGGCCTTGTTCTTTTCTCAGACCACTTTCAAGCTTCTAAGACTCCAGGCACTACACAACAAATTAGGAGGAAGAGCAGAAACACTAAACAAGTCATTAAGGCAGCAAACAGGAATTGTCATGAAACCATGACTCCAAACCTCCAAACCAAGCACTCAAACCTCATAAGGCATTGGAAACTTTATGACACGGTTCTTCTCCATCCTGTAGGGTCAGCTAAGTTGATATGATTTGACAGCAATGAATTTGGTTGCCTGTTTGTTTGTTTGTTTTATCATTATGTGCAAACTGTACTTTGTTCTTTCACACTTCCTTTCCCCTGACTGTTAGAAAGAGGAGAAAGCTTCAACTATATCCTCTTAGTTGCAAACAAGAAGAGAAAGGAACCAGGAGAGGGGTAGGGTGGGGCCTGGGGCAGCATTAGTCCCTTCTAACAGCTTCTGTATAGCTCTGTATCATTTACCAAATATCACCAATTTTTCAAAAACAACCAGAAATGATTAGTTTAAAGGATGAATGAATCACAAACAATTCAGCCTCCATGGCCTTCAGACCAGAGAAATAGATGGTACCCCAGCTACCACTGCTGATATCTCCAAAGGAGACAACAGAGGGTCCTGCGGAGAGCAACACCAAAATGTACAACAAATGCAAAATCACAACGTTGAGATGGCATTCTGTTTCGCCTTTTCTTTAAAGCTAGTACTCGACCTACTCGTGGGGCAGATTTTACATAAGGGAGAAAGCAATTATCTGGATTTCATTCATTTTCCAAAAGGCCCTACAGGTTTCCTTGACCCAAATGAGATAGATTCTATCCTGTGAGTGTCAATGTGGGTGCTCACTTTTTCAGTACACTGGTCTTACATGTTCAAGATTTCCAATTCCAAGGAGAATACCATCAAGACTAACCCTTTGGTGGGGTGTTTTTTTTTTTTCAGAAGCTGTAAATGTCAGCAGGAGATTGTTCTTTCTCTGCCACTTGGCTGGTCGATTCAAACAGCCAGAGAAGGACCGCCTTCGACAGTGTTTGGGTTAGCAGCGCAATTCACTAAGGGCTATGCCACCAGAGAGCCCTACTTTATTGAATGTCCTGGCCCTCTTCTGGTCTTCCCGCGCAGGAATGGCTGCTGAGGGGTGAAGGGTTGGAGACCCGCTGAGAAGTTCCTGGGTTTCCAGTCAACACCGGTAGAGCACAGGCAGGATTGGCTGCGCTCACGAAGAGGAACAGAGACTCCACCAAATCACAAGTCTGGAATTTTCATCATCACAAGCCTTCCCTTTCATCACAAACCTTCCCTCTCGATTCCTAGCAACCACCGGGATTGTTTTTCCTTAAAGGAACGCTGCCCGGGGTTGCTATGGAGAAAGGACGCTGCAATTAGCAGAGCAAACAGCCAAGAGAAGGGCTGGAGAGTCCTCTGTAAGCCCTGTGCTGCCTTCTTCCCTGTCCATCTGCCCTCATATCCATATCACTTTCTCTTGACTCTTATGGAAGATGAAGGAAAAAACCGAGAGGCAAGGGAAGTCAGGCAGCCATGGGAAGAAATGTCAGCAACTTCCTCCCAAGAACCAGAGCCTAAGTCATCTGAACACTTGGAGCCTGAGCAGGGGCCAGAAACAGAATCCGAGCCCAGGAGCAGCCCGCCTTGGAGCCCGGGATTTCGAACTAGCACATCTGCAGATGACCTCGCAGCACTGGGCACCTCACCTGCCTCTGCCCCTGCTCAGGAGCCCTCTTCCACTCCTGCCTCCCCAGGTCCAGTCTCACAAGAACTTGCCACCGCACAGGCAACAGACAAAACCGCTAGAGTGATCCATAACTCTACTCATTTGGAGCAAACACCTGATAGAGAAGAATCAATTGTTCAACAATCCAGCCAATTAGAGGAGAAAGCCTTTCAACACTCTCAGCAACCAAAACTTCACCAACATGGGCCAGAGCATGTGAGCTTTAACAAGTCCAAACAAAAAGAGCTGAGATTTGACATTTTCCAGACGAAAGACTCAAACAGTAATGATGACCTGGATCAGCCTGAGCCTGAGGTCTCTGAACAAGGCCCCAGCATGCTCGAGATTGCTGTTCAGAACGCTAAGGCTTACCTCCTGAAGACCAGCAGCAAGTCCGGCTTAAACCTGTGAGTCTGGGAGAGACAAGTTTGGCAAAGCAAAAATGATTGAGTATCTTTGTGTGAGGCTGTGTTTCTGTGGATGAGTGAAGAGAGGTATTTGAAAAGATTGCGTTAGGGGCAAAGGTTTGTTATTGTTATGTGCTATGGAGTCAGAACCAACCTATAGGAGAACTCCTGTAGGTTTTCAGAGGCCATAAATCACGTGGGAGAGATTGCCCGACTTTCTGCTGAGGAGCAGCTGGTGGATTCAGAGCAGATGCTTCTGGGTTAAACAGAACAGCTCCTTACTGCTAAGCCACCTAACTTCTACAGATCTCAGACCAGACCACTGATGAGATTTCTCTTAGCTTTATTATTATTATTATTATTATTATTATTATTAATGAAAGTTTACAGAGACTTTAGATTTCCATTCATTCATTATTGCACTTTTCTCCCTGTCCACCCCTCCCCCACCCCCAGCTCACTCTTCTCTTTGAAAAGTAAAAGAAATTCTTTCATTGTTATACAATCCCTTCCCCCAGGTCCACTCCACTATGCAACCTTCATTCTGGACTCCTGTCATGACAATAATACCTAATCACATATCCCTTTTAAACAGTTTTCTCCATCAGCTGTTTCAATGCAGTATACATTAGTGAACCCATCTTTCTCAGTCTCCCCCCACCCTAATGTCAGTCTTGTTTTACAACAGTGGCACTATACAGTATTTGTCCTTTTGTGACTGAGATATTTCACTCAGCATAATGTCCCCCAGGGTCACCCATTTTGAATAATATTGCATGAGTTCCTTGTTTTTCAATGCAGTGTAGTATTCCATTGTGTGACTATACCACAGCTTCTCTATCCATTTGTTTGTTGATGGGCACTTAGGTTGTTTCCAACTCCTTGCTATTGTGAATAAAGCCATGATAAACATGGGTGTGCATATATCTGCTTGGATGTCAGTTATGGTCTCTTTAGGATACATTCCCAGTACTGGAATTACTGGGTCAAATGGTATTTCTATTTGCAACTTTTTGAGAAAGCACCATACTGCCTTCCACAGTGGTTGCACCATTTTACACTCCCACCAACAGTGAATAAGGGTTCCAGTCTCTCCACAACCTCACCAGCATTTGTTGCTTGCTATTCTGTTAAATTTTGCTATTCTTACTGGGGTTAGATGATATCTCATAGTTGTCTTGATTTGCATCTCTCTTAGAGCTAGGGATTTTGAACATTTCTTCATGTGCTTATTAGCCATCTGACTGTCTTCTTTGGTGAAGTGTCTGTTCATATCCTGTGCCCATTTTTCTACTGGATTATTTACTTTGATCTTGTTGTGGTGCTCAAGTATTTTATAAATTCTTGGTATAAATCCCTTATCTGAAATGTCATTGCCAAATGCTTTTTCCCAGTCTGTGGCTTCCCTTTTTACCCTATTGAAGAAGTTTTTGGCTATGCCTAGGGATTTGATTCTTAGAAGGTCCCATTCATCTATTTTATCCTCTCCTTGTTGTAGATTTTTCAGGACGCTTGGAAGACTGCTCTTATTATTGTTGGTGTTTTCCATCATCACGTTGGTTCCTATTCCTGATGATCCTATGAGTTACAGAGTAGAACAATCCATAGGCTTTTCTTGACTGTTCTCTTTATACAACTATTATCTTTCAGAATCCAGCTTCCATATACATAAATTATGAAATTCTGGGCTATCTATTCACAACACTTAATTTACAGCCATTTACAAATGTTTACAGACCTACTGTTTTAGTATCCAACTCACTCTCTAGACTGGATGCCCAAGAGCTTAGGTATTATGTTGTTTTTTTATACCACCATGTACTCCGTGCCTTACACAATGTCGTCAGCTATTAAAAGAAAGAAAAGGAAAAATAAACAGCAGTACAAGGAACTCAGGTCAGACTTTTTCCATCTAATTCCGTTTTCCTATTCTACTAAAGTACTTCCTGATAAATAATTATCAACACAAAAGTTATTTTGTTGCAAGTTTCAAAACCATGTTTAACTAAAATACATTGACTAGAAAACCTTAAAAATTGCTTCAATATGTTCTGAGGGAATTGTTTAAAAGGAATATATGATTAGACATTATCTGTATGACAACAACTCAGAATAAGAGGTATGTCATTGTAAAGAGGACTGAGGGGATGTAGATAATTGTGCAACAATGAATGAATATTAAAAAAATTTAACTGGGGGAGGGGAAGTGAGAAAGAGGGGCTAAAAGGTGGAGCAATGAATGAACAAATATCTAACTTTAAACATTCGTTAAAATCACAATAAAATAAAATTTTCATTAAAAACAAAAATGTTTAAAATAAAACTAAAACAGACATGTTAGAACTCAAAAATAACTGAAATTAGGAAAGCAACATATGTTTATCCTGAAAATTGTTTATAGTTAAATAAAGAATAAGTAAACTAGAAGATTTTTTTAAAGTGCTTACATTTGTTCTTTTATTCAACAAGGCAAATTAGTAATACATCAATTTTTTAAAATTATAATTAGTTAAATATAATAAAAATGTTTTCTAGCTTGTTGTGAAAGTCCTACTTGGTTAAAAAAACATCATGCTGGGCAGAGTGGAGGGACAGCACAGGAGAGGAAGACCCTCTACGAGGTGGATTGATTCCATGACTGGGGTAATCGGGATGGGTGTGTCAGAGGCAATGAGATTGGCACAGGATAGAACAGGGTTTAGGGCTGTTGTACATAGGGTCGCTATGAATCGCAAACGACTCAACGGCACATAACAACAACAACAACAACAACAACTTGGTATGAAGAGTTTTGCAATTTGATTTTCTAATGTAGTCTTTTAAAAATATGTGCAATATCTAGTCTGAAGAACATGATGAAAGCATATACAGAAAATATACTGAAACTTGGCAAGAAAATGTGAAATTTAGACATCACTGTTAACCAAAAGCCAGGCAGTTTGAATCTACCAGCTGTTCCCCTGAAGATAGATGGGCAATCTCCTCTTATAACATTTACAATCTGAACCAACTCGAGGACACATAACAGCAATATTACCATTTAGTTGAAACCAACTCAGAACTGGCTCTCCAGTAGATTTTTTAGAGGTTGTAACTGATATGGGAGGAAATTGCCCATCTTTCCCTTACAGAGCCACTGATTGACTCAAATCATCAGAAAGGTGTCAATTTAGGTTAGAATTGCAACTCTCTACAGCCACCAGAGCTCCCTAAATGTGGACATGCTGCTGCTGTTGTTGTTATGTGCCATCGAGTCACCTGTGACTCAACCCTATGCACAACAACTCTATTCTGTGCCAATCTTATTGTCTCTGATACACTTATTTTTATTACCCCAGTCACTGAATCAATCCATTTCATCGAGGGTCTTCCTCTCTTGCACTATCCCTTCATCCTCCCAAATATGATGTCCCTCTCCAAGGACTGACCCCTCCTTGCAACATGTCCAACGTATGTCAGATGGAGCTTTAGAATCCATGCCTCAAAGGAGCACCCTGGTCTCACCCTTTCTAGGATGAACCTGTTTGTTCTCATTGCAGTCCATGGCATATTCAATAGAATTCTCCAGCACCACAGCTCAAATACATTAGTTCTCCTTCTGTCATTTCTAATCATTGTCCAGCTTTCTGATGCATAGCAAGTAATTGCAAAGACCATGGCTTGTGTCAGGTGCACCGTAGTCTCCACACTGACATCATTGCTCTTCAGTAGTTTAGATAGGTCTTTGACAGCAGACTTACCCAATGCAATATATCTTTTAATTTTCTGGCTGCTGGTACGAAGAGTGTTGATTGTGCTCATAGAGTCTGCAATTTAATGTCATATATAGCCTCCATGGGAGCAAAGTAAAGACTAGATACAAATCCCATTGCTCTCTAGTGAGCAACAAGCATTTTAGCCTGACGTAATTCTCCATAGATTTTAGTACTGTTCATTTGAGTTCAAAACAGAGTACAGTTTTTTACTTCCCTTCACATAGGTTGCCTGTATAATCCACATTTTAATGCTCCTAATGTTTGATGGCAAAAGAAGAATCAATGCCTTTGACTTGTGGTGCTGGAGAAGAGTCTTGAACATATCATGTACTGCCAAGAAAACAAATAGGTCTTGGAGAGGGTGAAACCAAATTTTTCTTTGGAGGCTGGGATTTTGGAGCTCTGTGTCACATACCTTTGGAACATGGCCAAGAGGGACCAGTCCTTGGAGAAGGACATCATGCTCGGAAGAGTGGAGGGACAGAACGGGAGAGAAAGACCCCAGATGATTATTGAGGCAATTGAGTAAGTGTGTCAGACTCAGTGAGACTGGCTCAGGACAGGGTAAGTTTCAGAGCTGCTGTACATTGGGTCTTTATAGGTCATAGGTGACTCGACAACACATAACAACAATAATGTTCGTTAATGCACGTGCACATACACACAAGTGTGTCAAATGCCAGAGGGGTTGCCATGGTGCACAGATTTCAGCACAGCTTTCAGATTGAGACAGCAAGGAAGCATGATTATCCATCCCCTTCTGAGATAGCAGGTCCCTGAAACACCTGTGAACTATAGAGGAAAACAGGTAGCAATAGTGCTAGTGGTAGAGCTAAGATTGGAAGTAAATAAAAATGAGGAGAAACAGCTGCAAACACCCTTTAATAATTGGAACATGGAATGTACATAGCATAAATGCAGGGAAACTAGAAGTTGTCAAAAATAAAATTCAGTGAATGAATGTTGGCATTCTAAGCATTAATGAAATGAGATGGACTGGTACTTTAAATTAGACAATGACACACTATGCTGGAAATGAAAAAGAGAGGAAGAATAGTGCTGCGCTCATAGTCAAAAGGACCATTTCAAGTTCTATCCTGAAGAACAATGTTGTGAGGGATAGGATACTATCCATATGCCTACACGGAAGAGTTATTAATATGGCTATTATTCAAATGCACACACCAACAGCTAACACCAAAGAAGAAAAAGTTGAGAATTTTTACCAAATTTTGCACTCTGAAATTGACTGAACATGCAATCAAGATGTGTTATTAGTAACTGATGTCAGGAATACAAAAGTTGAAAACAATGAAGAAGGAATGACAAGTGGAAAGTATACTCTTGGTGACAAAAATGAGGCCACAAATCACATGAAATAACTCAAGGATTTATTCATCACAAACACATTTTTTTTTCATTAAAAAAAATGGTGACTTTATACATGGGCCTCATCTGATGGGCTGCATAGGAATCAGATTGACTTCATCTGTGGACAGAATCATCGGAAAAGCTCAGTATCAGCAGTCAAAACCAGACCAGATACTGACTGTGGAACACATCATCAACTACTCATGTACAAGCTCAAATTGAGGCAGAAGAAATGTAAAGTCTACAAAAAGTAAAATATGACCTTGAATTTATCCCACCTAATTTAAAAATCATCTAAAAATATGTTTGAGGCATTGAATATGGTCAAAAACCAGAGACCAGATGAACTGTGGGATGACGTCAGCCACATGGTCTATGAAGAGTGCTAAAGGTCGTTGAAAAGACAGAGCAGAAAGAAAAAAATCAAAATTTATGTCAGAAGAGACTGAAAATTTCACTAGAGCGTCAAGAAGCCAGAACAAAAGGAAGAGATGCTGAGGTGAAAGAGCTGAACAGAAGACTTCAAAGGGTAGCTCAAGAAGACAAAAAGTCTTATAACGGTATGTGCAGAGAGCTAGCACTTATGAATAAAAAGAACTCACTCAGTGTCTCTGAAACTGAAAAACAGATTTATTTCTTGAGTTGCAGTACTGAGAGATGCTACGAGCAAATTTTTTAATAATCCTAGAAGCATTAAAAGAAGATAGAGGGACTACGCAGAGTCACAGTACCAAAATATTTTTACTGAAATACTTCAGGAAGAACCATATGATTAAGAGCCAATAGTAATGAACAAAGACGTTCTGGCTGCACTGATAACATGGGCAAAAAAGAAGGCCCCTGGAATACAAATTGACGTCTTTCAAGTGACGGGGCCCAAACATACTCACCAGTCTGTGCAAGGAAACTTGAAAGACAGTAACCAGGTCCACTAACCGGAAGAGCTTTCCAAGATAAATGATCCAGATTAGACCCTTGGAGAGGAACATCAGAAAGGTGAATGGTCAGTGAAAAAGAGGAAGAACTTCATCCAGACGGACTGACACAGTAAATGCTGCAGTGGGTTCAAGTCAGAGATGATGAGGATGGCACAGGATACGACAGGGTTCAGACACATTCACTGAGTAGTTCTGAGTCATACTCGACTTGATAGCACCTAACAACTAACAACTAATAATGTTCATAATTATTTTGTTTGTAATGAGAAAGGCTATATGTTGTTGTTGTTGCTATGTGCCGTCGAGTCGTTTGCGACTCATAGTGACCCTATGTACAAGAGCCCTAAACCGTGCTCTATCCTGTGCCAATCTCATTGCCTCTGACACACTTTTCCCAATTATCCCAGTCACTGAATCAATCCACCTGATAGAGGGTATTCCCCTCCTGCGCTGTCCCTCTACTCTACCCAGCATGATGTCCCTCTCTAAAGACCTGTCTCTCCTTACAACACGTCCAAAGTATGTCCGACGAAGCCCCAGAATCCTTGCCTCCAAGGAGCAACCTGGTTTAACCCTCTCTAGGATGAATGTTTGTTTTCTTGGCAGTCCATGATACATTCAATACTCTTCTCCAGCACCACAGCTCAAAGGCATCAATTCTCCTTCTATCCTCCCTAGTCATTGTCCAACTCTCTGATGCATAACAAGTGATTGCAAAAACCATGGCCTGTATCAGGCACACCTTAGTCTCCAGAGAGACACTGTTGCTCTTGAGTACTATAGAGAGGTCGCTAACAGCAGACTTTCCCATCACAATACGTTTTTTTATTTCCTGGCTACTGGTGCCAAGAGTGTTGACCGTGGAGTCGAGCAAACTGAAGCTGTGAACAATCTCAATCTCTTCACCATCCATCCTGATGCTACCAATTGGTCCAGTGGTGAGAATCTTTGTCTTCTTGACATTGAGCCTCAGTCCATACTGAAGGCTGCAGCCCTTGACCCTCTGCAGTAAGTGCAGGAGGTCCTCCTCAGTTTCAGTGAGCAAGGTTGTGTCATCTGCATAATGCAGATTGTTGATAGATCGTCCACCAATCCTAATGCCAAGCTTCTCCTCATAGAGCCCAGCCTCTCGGATAATCTGCTCTGCATACAGGTTGAAAAGGTATGGAGATAGGACACATCCCTGGTGTACACCCTTCCCAATTTTGAACCATGCAGTGTTGCTCTGCTCTGTTCTGATGACTGCCTCTTGGTCCAAGTATAGGTTTCGCATTAGCACGATTAAATGTTCTGGGATTTCCATTCTTCTCAGAGTCAGCCACAGTTTGTTATGATCCATGCAGTCAAATGCCTTTGCATAATCAATGAAACACAGATAGACATTCTTCTGGTATTCTCTGCTTTCAGGTAAGATCCATCTAACATCAGCTACAATATCCCTAGTACCACGACCCCTTCTAAACCCAGCCTGGACTTCCGGCAGTTCTCTGCTGATGTGCTGTTCCAGTCGTTTTTGTATAATCTTCATTATCCTCCTATTATCACAATAATGGCTTTCTGCAATATTTGTTATTACATGACTAAAATATTTTACTCAGCATAATGTTTGCTAATCTTTCCAAAGTTATATAATATGTAACTAGATAACCAAGAGATTTCTGTCTTTAAGATAAATTGTAAACATGTAGCTAATATAGAATGTGTACCATGCTATATTTCCATCAAGTCAAGCACAACTCATAGCAATTCTGTGAACAAAACACCTAATGCCTTCCCATAGCTATCATTGTTTCTCCAAGTTCATAGAGTTTCCAGAGGCATGTATGTGGTTTAGGAAGTGGATGCCACTGCTGCTTCTAAACCGTGTTTTACAACTGGGAGCTCCACCAAACGCTGATCACAAGGGTAAATCATTATGGTATTTGATACCCCAATGGCACAAGATTCAGCATCATAGCAAACCCAGGTTACTTCATACAGCACATTGACAAAGAGTGATGTGCAAAGTGGAGAAGTGTTCCTCCATATATAACAACATTAGTCTCATTTAGCAGTGGTTAAGTATCATCGAGTTGAATATGACTCAGAGTAAGCTTTGCACAAAAGACCTATACTCTGTTCTATAACTAACATCATTTTTACATTTATAGAGTTTAGAGAGTTTGTAGAGTTTCCAGAGGCATCTAGTTTAGGAAGTGGATGCCACTCCTACTTCCCAACATGAATCAAATGTTTGGAAGCTCATCCAAACATTGTACATAATGGGTAACCATTATGGTATTTGACACTACTATGGAACAATATTCAGTGTCACAGCTACTCCAAGTTGTTCAGTATAACAAACAGATAAATGATTGTTGTGTCTTTAAAGAATATTCATTCTAAAATTAATAAATTTGGCCCAAGGGCGGGAGACCCTAGGGTCCTAAGGGATTTTTAAACCACTCCCTCTAGCAGGCCTCCACCCTTGGTAAAAGGTTCAATGGCCACTTTGGGTGGAGGGAAGAGCAGTAATAAATATCAAACATGACCCCAAAAACTTCTCTTACATGAACAGCATTAAGACGAGTTCACTATCGAGTTGACTCCAAGGCCCCAGGCAGTAGAAGTTAATTTAAGCATTTGATTAACTAAAAATCTCTAAACACTTCTAGTTAAGTTCTCTAAATCCAACTAACTGAGAGAAAAATGCTTCTTGAAATGCGCTTAACATGGATATTCTCTAATTGTTCTCTTTTGGGGTAGATATGATCATCTTTCTAACATTCTGACCAAGATCTTAGATGAGCGTCCTGAAAATGCTGTTGACATCCTTGAAAAGATCAGTCAAGATCTGAAGAAGGCACATTTCAGTAAAAAATTAGATACACTCCAGAATGAGAATGAAATACTTCCAATATATGAAATAGCAGAAAAGCAAAAGGCTCTTTTTCTCCAGGGAAATTTGGAAGGTGCTGACCATGATCTAGAAGATGAAATAGTAAGTTACCCTATAAATTTGGTTTGACATTTTCAATCTGTATTCACTGTCTTTCATAGCTTCCTAAATGAGGTTTGCACTTAGCCATTAATAAAAAAATAAGTGATTGTAACCCACCTGGTGACACTCTGAGGGGAAAGGCTGGCAATCTACTTGCATGTGATTACAGCCATCGAGAACCGTGTGGAGCACAGTTCTGCTTTGAAACCCATGGGATCACCAGTCATCAGAAATTTCTTCAGCAAAGTGTTTGATTTTAAGAAATTATAGTTCTCACAAGAGTCTACAATTAAGGTTGCAAAGTGGAGTGTACTTGGGGAGGTGGGAGGGGTGCGGGGGCATTGTATACCAAAGAATTTTTCTTTTACTTTTCAAAGAGAGGAGCGAACTCGGGGGGCTGGGGGGGGGGGCTGGGCAGGGAGAAAAGTGCAACAATGAATGAATGGAAATCCAAAATCTCTGTAATGTTCATTAAAATTATTAAAATAAAAAAGGGGGAAAGGAGAAAGAAAAAAGAAGAAATTGTATCTTCATTTTCTTTTTTCTTAGTTCTCTCAAGATTTTCCAATTGATGTCATTTCATAACACTCATTTCTTTGTTTAAGGGTATTTTTCATTTTTTTCACATAATATCTTACATCAATCTTTGGAGAAGGACATTATGCTCAGAAAGGTGGATGGACAGTGAAGGAGAGGCCAACCCAGGATGAGATGGATTGATACAGTAACCGGGGCAATGGCGGCTGGTGTCTCAGAATTAGTGAGACTGGCTCAGCACAGGGAAGGGTTCAGAGCTGCTGTACATAGGGTATACATTGCAGACAACTCAATCATAACATTTTGTGACAGATTTGGAAGCAGGACTAGCATCCACTTTCTAAACAACTTGCCTCTGGAAACTCTATGGAATTTGATAAATGTCGACAGTTGTAGAGGAGCTTCAGGTCTTTTGTTCATATGGTCGCTATGAGTTGTGCTCTACTCAAAGGCAATCAGCAACAACAACAATATCTTACAGGCCTTAGCTTGTATGACTGTGAGACTAAACTCTTTGATATTAGGAAAGAAAATACTTATTCATCCTTTATAATCTCCAGCATACCTAGTGAAGATCTGAGTTTATAGATATTCCTTAATATCTATTTACTACATGAACTAATGAATGTTAAATAATTTTAAAATAGGCTTTCAATGACATTTCAGAAGGCACTCTGGTGGCATAATCTGCAGGGATTTGTGCTGATAACCCAAAGACGGAACCTCTCTTGTGGTTTGAAATCACCAGTCACTTTTTGGGAAAAAGATGGGCATTTCCTCTCATGGAGTTAAAGCCTCTGAAAACCCACTGGAGATTCAGTCATGAGTCAATTCTGATTCAACAGCAATGAGTTTGCATTTTTTATCAAGCTCCATAAAGTTAATGTACTAGAAAATTTAACATCATGATAGATGGAGAAAAGACTGAAATGTTCAATTATTTCATCTTACTTGGATCCACTATTAATACCCCTGGTATCAGAAGTCAAGAAATCAAAAGATATGTTGCCTTGGAAAAATCTATTGTCAGGACCTCTACAGAGTACAGAAGAACAATGGTGTCAATTTGAAGACCAAGATGCACCTAATCCAAGCTATGGTCTTTTCAATTAGTTGCTATGCATCTGAAAGCTGGACAATGAATAAAGATGACAGAAGAATTGAGGCCTTTGAGAAGTGTTACTGTGTAGGAGAGAAAGAGACTCTCAAAGAGATAGATTGACACAATGACTATATAGGGTTCATTGTTGTTATGTGCTGTCTAGTCGCTTGCTACTCATAGCGACCCTATGTACAATAGCCCTAAACCCTGCTCTATCCTGTACCAATCTCATTGCCTCTGACACACCCATCCCGATTACCCCAGTCACTGAATCAATCCACCTCATAGAGGGTCTTCCCCTCCTGCACCGTCCCTCCACCCTCCGAAGCATTATGTCCCTCTCCATGGACCTGTCCCTCCTTACAACATGTCCAAAGTATATTAGATGAAGCCTCAGAATCCTTGCCTCCAAGGATCCGCCCAGTTTGACCCTTTCCAGGATGAATCTGTTTGTTTTCTTAGCAGTCCATGGTATCCTCAATATTCTTCTCCAGCACCACAGCTCAAAGGCAACAATTCTCCTTCTGTCCTCCCTAGTCATTGTCCAACTTTCTGATGCATAAGAAGTGATTGCAAAGACCATGGCCTGTATCAGATGCACCTTAGTCTCCAGAGTAACACCATCACTCTTCAGTACTTTGGAGAGGTCCCTAACAGCAGACTTTCCCATTGCAATATGTTTTTTTATTTCCTGGCAACAGAACAAATGGGCTCATATATGTCAGAAATAGTAAGGATGATGCAGGAAAGGACAAGGCAAAGACAGATCTTTTGTTCACAGAGTTGTTATGAGTCATGGTCAACTTGATGGCACCTAAAACAGGAGATAACACCACAACAGAAGAGTTAAAAGTACTACAGAAGTCATTTGTACTCTCTCACAAGATGACCTTAACATAATACATTTGATAGCATGTTTATTAGGGAGCTCTCATGTAGTACTAAACCCACTAGGACCCAGTGGGAGGGCCTTTGTGATTAAAAGTTGGTTGGGTGTTTGGGACCACATTCTTGGGCCTAAATTAAAGACTGATTTACTGTTGGTGGTGGTGGTACTGTTAAATGTCGTTGAGTTGTAAAAGACTCACAGCAACCCTATGAACAAAAGACCTGAACACTTGTATAACTTTTGGTCATTTCTCCAAGTTCATAGAGTTTCCAGAAGCAAGCTGTTTCAGAAGTGGATATCACTCCTACTTTCAAGCTTGTTTTAATCAGGAAGCTCCACCAAACACTGTCCACCATAGATAACCATTATTGCATTTGACACATCAGTGTCACAGTGTTTAGCACCACAGCAACCACGAGTTACCTCTGTACAGGAAATGGACAGACCAGTGCTATGCCGCTTAGAAGAATATTTGACCAAAAACAATTAAAACCAGACCTGAGGGCCAGAGATTAAAATCACTCATCTTTGGCTTGGTGATTTAGAGTTATTAGAGTTACAAACTAAATTGTCAGTATCAGTTTACTGTACTGAGATAATTTGTAGGTTGCTGTGATACTGAAAGCTATGCTACTGGTGTGTCAAATGCCACAAGGGTTACCCATGGTAGACAGGTTTTAGTAGAGCTCCCAGATTAAGACAGAGTAGGAAGCAGGATTCTTACATAACAGGCCTCAGAAAACCTTATGGACAGTAGAGGAACATGGATAGTTATAGTAGTAGTAGTACAGACCAGAGTGGAAGTCAGTTGAAATGAGGAAAAAATGGCAAACATTGTTTAATAATCAAAACATACAATTTAAGTAGCTTGAATGTTGGAAAACTGAAAATTGTGGGGGGAAAATTAAATGGAATGTATGAACATGGGCATATTAGGATTTAATGAAATGAGATAGACTAGCTTTGGTCGCTTTAAATCACGTAACCATATGATATATTATGCTGGGAATGAAAAGCAGAAGAATGTTGCATTCATAGTAAAAAAGGCAATTTCAAGTTCTATCTTGAAATACACTATTATGAGTGATAGGATCTTGTCCATACAGGTAAGACCTATAAATACAACTTTGTTCAAATATACACTGCTACATCTAAATGCAAAGAGGAATAAATTGAAAATTTACCAAATCTTGCAGTCCAATATTGACCAAACATGCAATAAACATGTTAATAATAATTGATGACTGCGATGCAAAAGTTTGAAAAGGTGAAGAAAGAATAGTAGTTGGAAAATATAGGCTTGATGATGAGAAATGGGCCTGCAAATAGAATGATTGAATTTTGTATTTTCAGTGATTTATTCATTGCAATTCATTGCAATATAAGGTTCAAATCCTCCAGCTGCTCTGCAGGAGAAAGATAGGCAATCTCCTCTAACATGAGTCAGAACTGACTCCTCGCTTCTCCTCCAGTAGGTTTTCATAGGGTGTAAATTACATGAGGGAACCTTCCTGTGGTTGTTGTTATGTGCCATCGTGTCACCAGTGACTCATAGCGACCCTGTGTACAACAGCCCCAAACCCTGCTCTATCCTGTGCCAATCTCACTGTCTCCGACACATCTATCCCCATTATCCCAGTCACGGAATCAATCCAACTCATAGAGAGTCTTCCTCTCCTGTGCTGTCCCTCCACCCTCCCAAGTATGATGTCCCTCTCCAAGGACCAGTCCCTCCTTACAACATGTCCAAAGTATGTCAGACGAAGCTTCAGAATCCTTGTCTCCAAGGAGCAGCCTGGTTTCATCCTCTCTAGCACGAACCTATCTGTTCTCCTAGAAGTCCATGGTATATTCAATACTCTTTTCCAGCATCAAAGTTCAAAGGCATCAATTCTCCTTCTAGCATCCCTAGTCATTGTCCAGCTCTCTGATGCATAGCAAGTAATGGCAAAGACCATGGCCTGTATCAGGCACACCTTAGTCTCCAGACTGACATCATTGTTCTTCCCTACTTTGAAGAGGTCTCTGACAGCAGACTTTCCCAATGCAATTTGTCTTTTAATTTCCAGGCTGCTGGTGTGAAGAGTTTTCATCGTGGAGCCAAGCAAACTAAAGCTATTAATAATTTCAATCTGTCTATCATGATGCTGCCAATCAGCACAGCGGTGATAATCTTTGTTTTCTTGATACTGAGCTTCAATCCATATTGAAGGCTGCAGTCCTTGACCTTCTGCAGCAAACATAAGAAGAGGTCCTCCTCAGTTTCAGCAAGCAGGGTTGTGTCATCAGCATAACGCAGATTGTTGATGAGTTCTCCAATCCTAATGCCACATTTCTCCTAATAGAGCCCAACTTCTTACCTAATATACATAAGACAATATCATTGGGAAGAATTTCTCTGTCTTGTTTAGGATTTGTCTTGTGAATTATCCTTCTTTCACTTAAAGTTATTTCCTACCTTCTCATTTTTTCCTCCTCCTAGTGTTCACTTGAGTCTGAAATTTTTATTTGTTTCCTAAATCTAAACCTACTTCTTATAAGTAAAGGCAAGCATCTATTTAATTATGTCTTTAAGTATAGCCATGCCTTCGTGTTTATTTTATTTTATGTGCCTTTACACTTACCCTATCTTTTTACCCTATTTGTGGAATAGGGTATTTGTTTTATTTTATATACATATTTAAATGTAAGTATTTATAAAAATTTTATTTATAAAAATTTAAATATATTTTTATATCTTATATATATTAGAAAGAAGAATAAATATGTGTTACAGAGAAAAATATAAGTATGCTACTACATATCTAGTTAGATAAATCAATCTATTCAGATAGATAGGGAGTTGCGGGGGGTGGAGAGGAAGGAAGGAAAAGAGAGAGAGAACCAGTTTAAAACTAATTGCCATTGAAGCAGTTCTGACTCATTATGAATCCATACATGTAAAACTAGAATGGTACTTCTTAGGGATTTAATGATTGCTTTTTCAAAAATAGATCACTAGGCCTTTCTTCCAAGCTGCCATTAAGAAGACTCAAACCATTAACTTTTCAATTAATATGCAAATATGTTAACCATTTACACACTCCAAAAATATAGATCTTTCTTCAGTCTGTGTATGAGTTGTGTGTGTTGTTGTTGCTTTTGTTAGGTGTGACTGATCCGAGTATGAATTTTAGCTACCCTATGAACAAAACAGATCTGAATCCTGTCCTATCCTGTGCCATCCTCACTCTCTCTGATACACTTGAGCCCATTGCTACAGTCACCATGTCAATTCATCTTAATGGGGAGGGGGTCTTCCTCTCTTTCACTGACCCTCCACCATTCTAAGCATAATATCCCTTTCCAAGGAATAGCCTCTTCTAGCAACATGTCCAAAATATGAGAAACAAAGTTTTGCCATCCTTGCCTATAAGGAGCATTCCAGCTGCACATTTTCAAGACATACCTATTTGTTTTTTGGCAGGCAATAGGATATTGAGTACTCTTCTCCAATACAACATCTCGAAAGCATCAATGCTTCTTCTGTCATCCTTATTCATTGTCCAGCTCTTAGATGCATAGCCTGTAACTGAAAAGACTATGGCCAGAATCAGGTACACCTTAGTCTTCAAACTGAACCACTGCTCCTGAATATTTTGGAGAAGTCCCTGATATCGCACTTGCCCAAAGCAATACATTTCCTTATCTCCTGACTGCTAGTACTTAGGGTATTGATTGTGGATCTAAATGAGATGAGATCATTGACAGTTTCAAGTCTTTCTACATCTATCATGATATTGCCCGCTGTCCCAGTGGTAAAAATCTTTGTCTTCTTGATGCTAAAATGGAATCCATATTGAACACTGTAGTCTTTAATCTTCTGCAACAAGTGTTTCAGGTCCCCTTCATGGTCAGCAAGCAAGATTGTGTCATCTGCATAGTGCAAGTTATTGTTGAGTCTTCCTTCAATTTTTTTTTTTTCATTTGTACTTCCTTCAATTTTGATACCACACTCTTCTTCATAGAGTCCAGCTTCACAGATTGTATTCTCAGCATACAAATTGAGTAAGTGTGGAGAAAAGATACTCCTCTGGCACACAACCTTCTTGATTTTAAATAAAGTGTTCCCTTGTTCCTTTTATACAAGAGTTTTTTGGTCTAGGTATAGATTCCGTATGAACACAATTAAGTGTTCTGGGATTCCCATTATTCTCAATGGTAGCCATAGTTTGTTGTGATCCACACAATCAAACGCATTTGTATAGTCAATAAAATACAGATACACATCCTTTTGATACTCTCTGCTTCAGTTAGAATTCACCTGATGTCAGGAATGATAGTCCTAGAAATCAATGAAATACAATCTTGAGTCTCTTCCACCTGAGTTTAAAAAATCATGTGAAGACTTGAAGCATTACCTACCAGCGATCAAAGACCAGAAGAGCCGTGGAATGAAATCAAGGATGTTATCCATGAAGAGAGAAAATGCCATTACAGAGACAGAGCAGCAGGAAAAGACGAAATGAATGTCAAAAGAAACCATGAAATTTCATCAGAGCACTGAGAAGCCAAAACAAAGGGAAGAGAAGCTGCAGTAAAAAGAGCTGAACAGAAGATTTCCAAGGGCAGCATGAGAAGATAAAGCAAAATATTATCATAAAATGCTCAAAGAGGGTCAGAGAAGGGGGAAAGGGAAGAATAGCGCAGTATTTCTCTAGCTGAGAGAACTGGAAAAAAAAAATCAAACCTCGAGTTGCAATGCTGAAAAATGCTATGGGCAAGATCTTGAATCATCCAAGTATTAAAAGAAGAAGAAAAGAATACACAGTGTCACTGTACCATAAAGAGCTACTCGACATGGAATTCTTTGAGGCAGCACTATATGAGCAAGAACTGAAGACACTAGCAAAAAATAAAGCCCTAAGAATAGATAAGATACTAATCAACATGTTTCCACTAGCAGATATAACCCTGGATATGCTCACCAGTCCATGCCAGGAAATTTGGAGGACAACTGACTGGCCAGCTGGCTGGAGGAGATCCATATTTGTTCCTATTCCCAAGAAAGGTGATCCAAGAGAATATGGGAATTTCCAAACAATATCATTAATATCACATGCAAGCAAAATATTGCTGAAAGTCATCCCAAAATGACTGGAACAGTGTGGAACAGTGTTGTTGTTGTTGTGTAACATCAAGCCAGAACCAATCCATAGCTGACCCTCCAGAGGTTTTGTAGAGGCACAGGAAGAAACTGCCCATCTTTCTCCCACAAACTGCGTGCCTTTGGGATCGCTGCCCAGATTGTGGAGGTGTGGGAGGGGGGAGTTAAATATTTTTATATAAAAATGGGATATTGATTGTTCTTAATTGTAATTATTGATTTCTTTCTGCCTAAAACATACCTATAAAATAACTTTTCTAGCATCTTGATAAGCATAAGATAACAATGGTTGAAACTATACTCCCTTTTTTAATAAGAAAACTTGGAATTCATAAATTAAGAGTTTGATCTAAATCGTGATAGAAAGGTTGAATAAGTTGTGGAAAATCGTATAGTAATACGTGCAGAAAGTAAAAGGAAACTGAGCAGTTCTCTTGTATAATATTTTGCATAATATTTTACCTACTGTGTTTGTATTTCCAGGCAGAAAATGCTCTTCCAAATGTAATGGAAGCTGCTTTCTATTTTGAGCAAGCTGGAGTTTGTTTAGGCGCAGATGAGACGTACCGCATATTTCTCGCCCTCAAGCAGCTCACTGACACCCACCCAATCCACCGATGTCGTTTCTGGGGCAAGATCTTGGGTCTGGAAATGAATTACCTTGTAGCTGAGGTGGAATTTCGTGAGGGGGAAGATGAAGAGGAGGTAGAAGAGGAAGACGTCGCTGAAGAGAGAGACGATGGAGAAAGTGAAGCTGGGGAGGAGGAGGAGCATGAGTTCCCAAAGTCCTTCCATAAGATCCCTCAGGCTATCCCAAGAGAAGAGAACAGAACAGGTGCCAACAAATACGTATATTTTGTTTGCAGTGAACCAGGAAGACCATGGGTTAAGCTACCATCCGTTACACCTATACAAATTGTTGTCGCAAGAAAAATTAAAAAATTTTTCACTGGGCGATTGGATGCTCCTGTGATAAGTTATCCACCTTTCCCAGGAAATGAGAGCAATTACTTAAGAGCACAAATAGCTCGGATTTCAGCCGGAACTCACGTCAGTCCTCTAGGATTCTATCAGTTTGGGGAGGAGGAAGCAGAGGAAGAGGAAGAGATAGAAGGTGGGCGAGAGAGCTTTGAGGAGAACCCTGATTTTGAAGGCATCCCGGTGATTGATCTAGTGGAATCCCTATCCAATTGGGTTCATCATGTGCAACATATTCTTCCTCAGGTAGGTGCTTTGCAATTCTCAGTCTATCAGGTGATCAGCAGTACTTACTAAATGCTTACTAAATGTTCCCTGCAGTGCATAAAGATAAACAAGATGAAGCCCTTTAGGCTCTTGATGGAGCAAAGGAATAGAAAAAGCAAGTAACAATGACAACCAAAAAAATCAGGTAGTAACATGTGTACATATATATAATAGTTACTATAAAATTGTCTGTATACGTATTATATATAACAATATATACTATATGTTGTTGTTATGTGCCACCAAGTCAGAACTGACTCATAGCTAACCTTCCAGAGCATTTTCAGAGGTACTAAATCAACCAGGAGGAGATTGTCCATCCTTTTCCTGTGGAATGACTAGTAGATTTGATATCTATCTATTATGAAATTGTATTAAATAGTAAAATACCTACTCCTACAGAATGCTGGATAAGTGACATAAGATTAAATTTGTATGTATATGTATGTATGTTATGAAGTTGCTCTTTTTATATGTTAACTATAAGTGAGTGTATTTATTTTTAAGATAAGACTATATTTTTAAGTTTCCTTACTCTTTTTATATGTTAACTATAAGTGAGTGTATTTATTTTTAAGATAAGACTATATTTTTAAGTTTCCTTACTCTTTTTATATGTTAACTATAAGTGAGTGCATTTAGTTTTAAACTAAGACTTTATATTTTTAAGTTTCCCTTTTTCCCCCATTTGAATGGAAGTTTACAAATCATGTTGGTTTTCATTCAATCGTCATACACATTTTGTTTTATAATGTTAATTACTCTTGATTGTTGTTGGTGGTGGTGTGTATCGCCATGTTGGAATTGACTCATAGTTGGTCCTCTAGTGGATTTCCAGGAAGGAAATTTCCTATCTTTCTGCTCTGGTGGATTTGAACAACATGCCTTTTAAACTTGATTAAAGTCTGATACAGGCCATGGTCTTTGCAATCACTTGTTAAGCATAAACAGTTGGATAATGACTAGGGAGGATAGCAGGAGAATTGATGACTTTGAGCTGTGGTGCTGGAGAAGAGTATTGAATATACCATGGACTACCAAGAAAACAAACAGATTTATCCTGGAGAAGGTTAAACTGGGCTGCTCCTTGGAGGCAAGGATTCTGAGGCTCCATCTAACATACTTTGGACATGTTGTAAGGGACCGGTCCTTAGAGAAGGACAGCATGCTTGGGAGGGTGGACAGACTGCACAGGAGGGGAAGGCCCTCTGTGACGTGGATTTATTCAATGACTGGGGTAATCGGAATGGGTGTATCAGAGACAGTGCAATTGGCACAGGACAGAGCAGAGTTTAGGGATGTTGTACATAGGGTCGCCATGAGTGGCAAGTGACTTGAGGGCACATAACAACAACAATGCAAATAATTACAATGTCTCACCAATCCCTTATATTATGTTGCTTTTCCTTTAACACAATTTATCTATGGAGACAGCATCAAAAATTAATAGATGGAAATAGTTTTTATACAATTTCTCTTCCAGAGAGAGATGTTCTGCAAAGCCAAAGGCTATTCCTCTCTGGCAATTCAAATCTACCAGAAGCTCTGAAGGAGAAAGATGGGCAACATCCCCCTATATGATTTACAGTCTCTGAAAACCTGCTGGAGGGTCAGCTATATGTCATTTCTGACTCGACACAATGAGGTTGACCTTTAGTTTAATACATAGCAAGATCACTTGGAAATCCAAGTAAAATAGGTCCAGAACCTTCTTAACTGCTCTGTTACATTGCCTCATCCACAGGTAGAAAACTCTGTATTGTAGTTTGACTTAGATGGGAGATAAGCATCGAAACCTCTAGATAACACATCCTCGTTGCCATTGAGTCAGATCTGGCTCTTAGTTTAGCCTCCACAGGGTTTTCAAGGCTGCAAATCACACAGGAAGAGATTATCTTTCTTCCTTGGGCTGCAGGTAGATTCTAATTGCTGGAGAGGCTTGACCTTTGGTTAGCAGTGTGTCTCCCTACAGACTAAACCGTCAGGAATACCCCAGCTAAGAGACAGCAAGTGAAAACTTGTAACTTTCAAACTAGCTTTGTTACCACATTTTTATTTTATGACTAAAACAATACTTTGCCTGCTTCATGTAAATCATTTCTCACAAATTGGGAAAATACATTCTTTTCTCAGTTAGGCCCTGATATTTTAAAATGTGTTTTATAACCTCAAAAAGTTGAAAAGTTGACATTGTTGTTGTTGTTGTTATGTGCCATCGAGTCGTTTTTTACTCATAGCGACCCTATGCACAACAGCCCTAAACCCTGCTCTATCCTGCGCCAACGCACTGCCTCCAACACACCCATCCCGATTACCCCAGTCACCGAATCAATCCATCTCATAGAGGGTCTTCCCCTCCTGCGCTGTCCCTCCACCCTCCCAAGCATGATGTCCCTCTCCAAGGACGCGTCCCTCCTGGCAACATGTCCAAAGTATGTCAGACGAAGCCCCAGAATCCTTGTCTCCAAGGAGTAGCTTGGTTTAATCCTCTCCAAGATGAATCTGTTTGTTTTCCTGGCAGTCCATGGTACATTCAGTACTCTTCTCCAGCACCACAGCTCAAAAGCATCCACTCTCCTTCTGTCCTCCCTAGTCATTGTCCAACTCTCTGATGCATAACAAGCGATTGCAAATACCAGGGCCTGTATCAGGCGCACCTTAGTCTCCAGAGAGACACCGTTGTTCCTGAGTACGTTTGAGAGGTCCCTAACAGCAGACTTTCCCATCGCAATACGCTTTTTGATTTCCTGACTGCTGGTGCCAAGAGTGTTGACTGTGGAGCCGAGCAAACTGAAGCTGTGAACACTCTCAATCTCTTCGCCATCCATCCTGACGCTGCCAATTGGTCCAGTGGTGAGAATCTTTGTCTTCTTGACATTGAGCCTCAGTCCATACTGAAGGCTGCAGTCCCTGACCCTTCGCAGCAAGTGCATGAGGTCCTCCTCAGTTTCAGCAAGCAGGGTTGTGTCATCTGCATAACGCAGATTGTTAATAGATGTTAATAATACCTACTAAGTGTGTGTTGAACAAATGAGTGGATTATTTAAATTGCCACACAGTTGGATTTTTGCTTGAATTATGCTGATAACTGTTTTCAATTAAAGTGACTATCTTGAGATGATAAAGACTGCATTAAAAATTAAATATTGCAAAAAAAAATTTAAAAATTAAATATTGCAAAATTCATTCCCAGGGTCGCTGCAACTGGTTCAACCCCATACAAAAGAGTGAAGAAGAAGAGGAGGAGGAAGATGAAGAAAAAGAAGAAGAAGAAAAGGGAGAAGAGCCTGATTCCATAGAACAGGAAGTGGGGCCTCCTCTTCTGACACCAATCTCTGAAGATATAGGTGATTTTTATATAACCAATCACAAATGAACATAGAAATGATGTAAAATAAAAGCCAAACTCATTTTCATCAAGCCAATTCTGATCCATAACAACCCTCTAGGACAGAGTAGAACTGTCCCATAAGAATTCCAGAACTGTGATTCTCTATGAAAGGAGGCTGCCAGATCTTTTCCCCATGAAGCTAGTGGATCTGAACTGTCAGCCTCTTGGTTTGCAGCAAAATGGACATTGTACTGACGGAGCTGCATATTTTACTAGGTGTATTTGATTGTAAATATATTAGGAATTGGACAGCTCTGAAAAGCGAGCAGGAGCCAAATGTCATTCTCCTTCCCCTTTCATATTCTGGAATGTGGAGAGTCAAGTACGAAGCTGACAATACCAACTTTCACTAATAGAGGTTGAAGGAATGATGTAAGGAGAAAAATATAAATTGGTTGTGGCTCTTACTAGAACTGTTGAAGACTGTCTTGTGTGTTGGTTTTGCTTGTCTTGCATTTTAAATGCCATGCCCATTTGTTGTTGCTGATAGGGGCCATTGAGTCATCTCCTCTAACTTTTTTTTTCTTCATTTTTTAAAAATTTATTTTATTGGGTTTTTTGTTTTTATTCACATTGTGTTTCTTTTTTACAGTTCTTTTTTAAATTTTTATTTTATTAATTTTAATGAACATTTAAAAATATTTTTAATTTCCATTCATTCATTGTTGCACTTTTTTTCTATACCCCGCCCCCATGGGGTTCGCTCCTCTCTTCAAAAAGCAAAAGATAAACTTCTTTGTTGGTATACACTCCCCCAACCCTGAATGCACTCCCCTATGCAACCTTAATTCTGGACTCCTGCGATAATCATAATACCCTATCATATATCACTTTAAAAATATTCTCTCCCTTGTCTGTTTCAATGCAATATACATAATCCTCTAACTTTTAGGGACACTGTGTGTACAGTGGTTCAAAACCTTGCCTAATCCAACACCACTCTCACAATGTCGGCTGTGCTCAAACCCACTGTTGCAGGTACTATATCAGTTCATCTTGTGCGTTTCCCTTTCCTATCTGACCTTCTCTATCTCTGTAAGCATGATTCCCCTTCCAGTCACTCACCTTGCCTGGCAACATGTCCAGCGTATGTGAGATAAAGTCTCACAATTTTTGCTTCTAAGGAGTACTCTGGCTGCAATTCTTCCAGACATATTTTGTTGTTGTTGTTGTTCTGTAAGCAGTCCCTACACATTCTGGAGGCCTAATGAGTAAGGAATTGCACAAAGGCAGGCAATTGGAATCTACCAGCTGTTACTTGGAAGAGAGATATGCAATCTCCCCTCCTGAGGCTTGTAGCCTCTGAAAACCTGCTGAAAGGTCAGCTGTGAGTCTGTCCCAATTCAGCAGCAATGAGTGATACACTGCATACTCTTGACCAGCATCACAATCCAAAGACATCAGTTCTTCAGTCTTTCTTATTCTTCATCCAACATTCACACACTTAAGAAGCAATTGAAAATACTATGATCTGGATCAGGTGCACCATAGTCTTAAAACTGGCATCCTTACTCTTTAGTACTTTGAGTGCTTACCAACCTAAGGGGCCCATCCTCCAGCATGATATTAAACAAGTTTCTTCTGCTATTCACAGGTTTTGAAGAGCCCATTATTTGAGAAGCAATGACCAGTCCTACACCTACTCTGTCTTAGTCTGGGAGCTCCACTGAAACCTGTCCACCATGCATGATCCTGCTGGCATTTGAAATACTAGTAGGAGAGTTTCCAGCAACACATGATTTGACACTCAGTGTTTCGCCTTCTGCTTTCTGGGGAGTGTGACAGAGGATGCAGATGAGCTTGTAGTTTTCTGTTTACTATTTATTTACAGCAATTGAAGGCAACTTGGATTGATGTTGGTTGCAGTCTTTAATCCATCTGGTAGATCAGGAGGTGTTTGGCACTGTTGCTCAAATGATGAAGCTACAGGTGTATGCATGGCTGTATATAGTCTGTTCCTTTTTGTCATCAGCCATCAGTGGAGACCACTGCAATTCCTGTGTTCTCACACCAATCAATCAGCTGTTCAAAATGGCCACACAGCACTGTTGACAATTCTCTGCTCCTTTGTCTCCCTATTTCATGCTCCCATTCAGTTTCTTTCTTCAGTTGGTGTTTGGCCTACCTTTCTTTTTCTTTTAAACTAATTATCATCTATACCTGTTATGTTTATTTTCTGGTATCACAGTTGAAGAGAGTCTAATAAGCCAACAGAAGTCTGTCCTCAAGTGTTGTTTCTTCTTATTCAGTTGTAGAGTACTTGTGCTTCCTCTTTCATGACTTGACCCTGTGGCCTCTCTCAATATGGCCCTTCTAGTGCAGATGACTGAAAATAAAGAACAACACAAGAATGTCTACTTGTGCTTTACTGACTATGCAAAGGCACTTAATCGTGTGGTTCATAACAAGTTATGGCTAACATTGAGAAGAATGATATTCCTAGAGCACTTGATTGGGCTCATGAGGAACCTATACCTGGACCAGGAGGCTGTTTTGCAAACAGAGCAAGCTAACACTACATGGTTTAAAAGGGAAAAGGGAGTATGTCAGGGTTGTATTCTCTCTCCATACCTATTCAATCTATTTGCTGAGCAAATTATCTAAGAAGCTGGACTCTATGAAGAGGAATATGGCATCAGGATTGGAGGGAGACTCATCAATAATCTATGTTATGCAGATGATACACCCTTGCTTGCTGAAAGTGAGGAGGACTTGAAGCAATTATTGCAGATCAAAAAATACAGCTGTAAGAGTGGATTGCATCTCAATGTCAAGAAGACAGATTCTTACCACTGATAGATGGAGAAACATCATGATAGATGGAGAAAATATTGAGGCTGTCAACAACTTCATCTTACTTGGATTCACAGTTGAGCAATAATTATGTTTGAGGATTAAGGTCCATTTAATTCAGGCCGTGGTCTTTCTGATCACTTGCTATGCATGTGAAATCTGGACAATGAATAAGGATGACAGAAGAATTCATATCTTTGAGCTGTGCTATTGGGGAACAGTGTTGAACTGGCTGACAAAACAAACAAACAAAAATGTCTTGGAGAGTGTGCAGCCAGAGTGCCCTTTGGAGGCAAAGATGATGTGACTTCACCTCACATTTTTCTAGGAGGGTCTATCCCTTGGAGAGGCACATGATGCTCAGAAAGGTAGATGGTTGGCCAATGAGAGGAAGACCCTTGATCAGGTGGACTGACACTGTGACTGCCACAATGGGCTCTTATGTGTCAAGAAGTGTGAGGATGGCACAGGATAGGGCAGGGTTCAGCTCAGTTGTTTATAGTCACTATGGGTTGTACTCAACTTGAAGGAACCTAACAACAGTGTAGATAACTATGTGGAGGGGCTTGACTGTGCAAGTGAGGTGAGTGGCCTATCCACAAAGGAATTGTTTATGTACAATACCGTTAGAGGCTTGTCTCACCAGTAAATTGAATAGCTCTAGCTGCAGAAAATAGAAATTCTTCTCCCACCCTACATCAGAAGAGATGGAACTCTTTGCCCAGCCAGAGAAGAGAGAGATCTCCCCAAACCCATTGAAATGTAGGACATGCTTTGGGACAGCAGCAGCAGCGATGGCTGAACTGGAGAGTTGGAAGAGATGGGTCTTTGGGCCAGAGGAAACCAATATTGGCAGGACTGAGAACTTAGGGACACTTAAAGCAATGAAGCTTGAGGCTGAGGTGCCTACATGCACACATTGCGAGTTGTCTTTTATGTTACTAATCTGAATTATATTCTTTTTTAGAATTTTTTTAATACTGGTTTGTATACCAAGTTCATGGTTCTTGTGGTCTGTGAACTATCACATCGGATTTTGGACCCAGCCAAGCAGTAAGATTGGTGTTGAGATAACTAAAAAGAGGCATGGGAGCATGGGGGACATGTCTGACCGCATGGGAATTGGTTTTGTTATTGACGCTATAGGAAGGGATCGTTTTCTCCTGTAAAGTTGGTGAAGATCAGATATGGCGCACCCCATGTTGCCCTTGCTCTTTCTACAGACATTACTTTAGTCATCAAATACTACTCCTAATCAAATTTCAAAGAAGCCCTAACAACATAGTTTGAATATATCAGGCTGGTAACAAAAAGATCAGCAGTTCAAATCCACTAGCATTCTGCAGATGATGGGCAGTCACTTCCTATGAAGATGAGAAAACTGATGGAGGGTCACTATAAGTCAGAGAATTGATTCATGGGTTTGGATATTACTCAGACTTCATTTTCCAGAACAATGACATATGTTATCCTGAATTTTCTGTTAAGCTCTTATGTTTTAACATTTCTATGTCATGCGTATGGCTTTTTTTTTAAGATATAAAAACAAGAACTTATAATTGTTTTAGATCTTTATTAGAAATCAAACGTTTCCATTCTCTTTGGTTTAGAGATTCAGAATATACCCCCATGGACAACACGGCTGTCCTCAAATCTCATTCCTCAATATGCTATTGCAGTCCTTCGATCTAACCTTTGGCCTGGAGCATATGCCTTTTCCAATGGCAAGTAAGTATGTTGTTATTGCCAAAGTTATTACTGTAACTTCTTAAGCTCTGAACCTTTTGTTCTCACTGGAATGTGAAGGAATTCTTGTCTCTCCTTACTGTATCCACTATGGTGTTAAGATTTCCCACAATATTGATACGATACCTTGTAAATGTTGCTGTTATGTGCCTGTGGAGTCACTTGCGACTCATAGCAACCCTACACACAAGAGCCCTAAACCCTGCTCTATCCTGTGCCAACGTCACTGTCTCTGACATACCTACTCCCATTTCCCCAATCACTGAATCAAACCTTCTCATCATAGGTCTTCCTCTTCTGCGCTGTCCCTCCACTCTTCCAAACATGATGTCCCTCTCCAATGTCTGGTCCCTCCTTGCAACAGGCCCAAAGTATGTCAAACGAAGTTTCAGAATCCTTGCCTCCAAGGAGTACACCGGTTTCACTCTCTGCAGGACGATCCTGTTTGTTCTCCTAGCAGTCCACGGTTTATTCAACACTCTTCTCCAGCATCACAGCTCAAAGGCATCAATTCTCCTTCTATCATCCCTAGTCCTGTCCAGCTCTCCAATGCATAGCACGCAATTGCAAAGACTATGGCCCATATCAGATGCACCTTAGTTTCCACCCTGATGTCACTGCTCTTCAGTACTCTGGAGAGGTCCCTGACAGCTGACTTTCCCAATGCAATCCATCTCTTGATTTCCTGGCTGCTGGTACCAAGAGTGTTGACTGTGGAGCCAAGCAAACTAAAACTATTAACTATTTCAATCTCTTCACCATCCATACTGATGCTGCCAATTGGCCCAGTGGTGAGAATCTTTATTTTCTTGATATTGAGCTTCAATCCATATTGAAGGCTGTAGTCCTTGACCTTCTGCAGCAAGCACTTCAGGTCCTCCTCAGTTTCAGCAAGCAGGTTTGTGTCATCTGCATAAAGCAAGTTGTTGGTGACTCTTCCACCAATTCTGATACCACATTCCTCCTCGTACAGCCCAGCGCCCCATATGATCTGTTTTGCATACAAGTTGAAAAGGTATGGAGACAGACTGCATCCCTGGTGGACGCTCTTTCTGATTTTTAATCATGCAGTTTCTCCTTGCTCTGTTCTGACGACTGCCTCTTGGTTCAAGTATAGGTTTCAAAAAAGCACAATCAAATGTTCTGGGATTCCCATTCTTCTCAGAGTCAGCTATAGCTTGTTGTGATCCGCACAGTCAAAAGCCTTTGCATAGCCAACGAAGCACAGACAGATGTTCCTCTCATACTCTCTGCTTTCTGTTAAGATCTAGTATCAAATTCAGGAAATTAAGAGTATTTTTTTTTAATTTATGGTCCTTAAAATTTGCACGTGCTTTTTCATCTGAGTTACTTGGTTAATCAAGCTGAAAGAGGGTTTTTTCCCAATGATTATTTTGGTAATTGGCTTATTTATTCACTTTCATGAAGCAGTGGAAGTAACTCTAAGCAGTGCCAAAATAGCTTAAATCTAAGATCTTTTTTTAGACATTTTCATAAAAATAATTAAAATAAAGATTAAACTATCACTTTCCAAATAATTACATTTTTAAAAAATATTAAATGCTCTTTTACCTTTCACTTGAAGCAAAATTCCACTTGTCTCGTCCTTTTATGTCTTATCTATTAACACTGGTAACAGTTTGCTTGGTTTGCAACCTTTAGATTCCTTTGAAATCTTTGGAAAGAGAACCTATTTAACTTTTGCTTTCTTATCTCTGAAAATAAATCACCAAAGGTTTTTTATTTGTGTTGTTTAAGTGTAAGGTAGGGAGTTCTGGTGACTTAGCAGAAAGAAGTTGCACTTCCAGCCAAAAGGCACATGCTGCTCTATTGGAGAGACAGCCACCGTCCTCTCGTGCTGTGTACAGCCTCTGAAATCCATTTGAGGGTCACTTATGAGTCAATCCTAATTTGATACCTTTTATAGGGTACTTTTTTACAAAGTCTCTTCCCAAAGTTTTCCAAACTGCTTATGTAGCGGGGAACCAAGTTAGTCCCTGTGGTTAAGAATTATTGAGATATGTTTTACCTCTAGCATTTTAAAAGGATTGTTTCTAAAAATAACAGGATATGAAAAAATATTAAGCGCATTTTTTTTACAGGAGGATCTTTTTATAAAAAAAATTATTGCATATAATGAACATCTACTTTCCCTTTTACCTACAGAAAGTTTGAAAATTTCTACATAGGATGGGGTCATAAATATAGTCCAGACAACTACAGCCCGCCAGCACCACCACCAGTTTGTCAAGAGTATCCCAGTGGACCAGAAATTACAGAGATGGATGACCCAAGTGTGGACGAAGAGCAGGTCTTCAGGGCTTCACAAGAAGCAGCTATACTTGCAGCTGAGAAAAGTGAAGAAACTGAAGAGGATGAGGATGATGATGACTAACAATAATACTAGCTCAGTGTCTAAAATGGGACCAATACATACACACATATTCA